AGACACACTATGGAGAATGGATGTAGATGAAAGTAAGATGTTTTCCTCCCCTGATCAGTTTGTTCCCAGTTGCCAGCAAAAGAACATGTCATTAACTGGTTAATTTAGCGTAATTATATTATCTATGTCAAAATAGGTAATATCATGTCAATGAACTTTGACCTGTATAGTAAGGGCCCATAATAGAAAACTTAGCTTTCTTTCACCACCCATAGTCCAATGAGCATTGTAACGATATACATCTAGCCCTTAGGTAGTGCCTATTTTCACTTTCTAGTTCCTGGCTTTTGTATGAGTTCCAATAAGTTGTATGTGCCTTAAAAACAATGTATCATAAGCATATCACTTATGTTGAAGTTGAACGAGAAAGTATATTCATGTATTCCACTATCACCCTCCAGAATTCTCTTTTCCCTTGATTGTGTATGATATGTGTGTGTTCAATTACTTCAATATGTCACAAATGACAAAAATAACAATGCCACTATAACAGTTCTTTATGCTAGGGCGTAAGAGAAGTGTAAATAAAAGAAGAGATGGATCACATTCTTTGTTTGAATAATAGCTATGGAAGAAACAGAGATGATATATCCTCCAAATACATTCTCTTAGAGCATATAAAGCCCTAAAGTTAGTGCTTATCCTGCCTTTAACTTGACCCTCTCTTTCCATCCCATTATTTCCCTTATTCTTTGTTCAAATTAACTCCTTTTTCACTCTATAAACAATAATCATGCATGGATTGAAAGTGGCAGTCAAAGTTCCTACAAACTGAGAAACAACCAACCAGTTGGTACTTGGTAAGCATTATGTTTATCATCATAAAGCAATTGTGTGAACTTTAATACGGAATTCATTAAAAGGATATACAAAACATCTGATTCACTTAGTTTCCTACACCTGCTCTCCTTTAGTGTTGGTTATCTTAGTTCTAAATTCTAATTCAGGCTTCATACTAGTAGTTTCATACTTTCGTTGAGCAATATCACAGTGTTAACAATGATTTTCAACAAGATGATTTAAGATCACTATCAAGACTCAAGAGATACAAATTTGGAAAAAGGAAACAAAAGGTTCAAAGTAGAAATATGAATAAAAGAATAAATTTCCGAATACTGGCTGAATCTGCCACAATTTTTTGCATGTAAAAAAACTTTTAAAAAAAAATTAAAAAAAAAAAAAAAAAAAAGACAACCTTTACTCCAAAATTAGCAAAGGAGAGGTAAACATTAAAATTGTGAATAGCAAAGGTAGGAGCCTTATTTTAAATTACACCGAAGTCCAATTTAATTCTTTATGCGTGCAAATCATCAAAGTCTAAAAAAAAAAAAAGTGTTTCATCAAATGCTATGACAGAAAAATCTGACAAGTGGTAATGAGAATGAGTTTGTATCTAAATTAAAATATTTGTAAGTACTATGTCAATGCAAGTGGTGATGCTAGTTCATCCTCTCTTATTCTTCATATATTTTTCAAATACCATATATAATCACTTAAGGGGTAATAGCCATAATTGATGGGAAATTACAAATTTGGGGATGCAATAGCAATACTATGGACATTAGGATGATAATTTCTAATCAAACTTATACGTCGATTTATTCATGTTACTGCCATTTAATTTCACCTGCCAAACAGGTTGTAAGGGTTATTAGATCACATTTCCTTGAGTTTCAATATTATGTGATGCCATGATGGTGTTTGGAATGAGTAATGCATGGTGTTTGGAATGAGTAATGCCAAGTCAATTATAATGCCTAGACAGGAGACGCAAAAACTATGACAAAAGTTAAAAATAAAAAATCATAAAACTCTTTGATAATGGTCAAGACGAAACTACTATTCTCTTGTTCTACCAACTTCATTACTAAGGCTTTTGAAGATGATATAACAGCACAAAGTAATTTAAAGCATCCTATGTTCCGCAGTTGCAGTAAAGAATTTCTGGCTGGATACTCCATTCAATGTCTTATAGTACAAATGTGTTAAAAGCATGATACTTCCTCCTTACTCATACATAAATTCAGCATATTAACAAAGCATAGCAAATAGCCTTTTGTATAATCTATGATCATCACTTTATTCTTTGTCCACCTACTACTATTATATTAAGTACCAACTAAAACAATATTTTGAGTAAATAATTAAAATCGGAGTGATCTTCTTTTCACATAAGAATATATTAATTCTAAACCAACATAGTGTCTCAAAATTGATATCTTCATAGTGGTTCCGGTAGTCGAACAAAAAAAAAATAAAAAAAAAATAAGTGACATTTGAGCCAACATCAAAAACTTGTCAAAGAAAGCCCCCAAGAGCTCACACACACACGCAATTAAAAAAACGATTCCACTTTGATTAGTCAACTGTAGTAAGAATATTAACACAGGAATCTGAATAGAAACAGCACACTTAAAGCTTCAATTCCTCCTTTGAGCTGGAAAAGTAAGCAAAAAGATAGTGTCTATAAAGCCATTTTTCCCTTTCAAGAAGCAAAACTTATCTTCTCTACATGAAAAAAATATATATAATAAAAAAATTAAAGGAATATAACTGATTATACTCTATTCTTTACATACTATTCCCATCGAGCATCAATTTAGCAAACTGAAACGACCTAAGTCACGTCTGATAAGAAAAGATAACAATGATGATAACTAGGGACCGCAATGGCGCATAAATACACTTAATGACGACAAATGATGGCGGAATTTGTGGTTTTACGTGTTTGGGCTGAATTATTTTCCAACTACAAATCATTTGTTCTTCATAGATCCCTATCAATTTTAACTAGTGGTTTCTAATCATGATTCCGAGATTATGTTCTGCATTCTACAATCAGAGAAACATTGGACTTTCCTAATGTACTACTATTCTTGTTATTTCAGTAGGGACAATAGCTACCCCACCTTCTTCGTCAATTAATTCGGAAATTTCAACCTAGAAAACTCCAAATTTTCATGTAAATCCCAATAAATTCACATAATTTCAATTAAAATCGAAGTTTTAGCAACAATTGTAGTAAACACAATTACAAAAAGCTAAAATAACAACGAATTGCTGATTTGCAGAAAAATTTAAAGTAATCGTCATAAATTTGAAAATACCTTCAGCAGAATTCGCCGATTCAGGACGCCATTGTAGAAGTCGCCATTAATTAAAACCTGAAAATCAACAAAAAAAAAATGAGCAATGAATTGAAGATTGGAGGAGGAGAGAGAGAAAGTGAGGTACCAATGGCGCGAAGATTTTAGGGTTTGATCGACTCAATGACATTACAGAACCTCCCGCGTAAAGGTTTTTCGGTTGAATTTTGGGTGGGTTTTTCGGTTGAATTTTGGGTGGGTTTTGTTTTTTAATTCTAGTGGTAAGATTGTCACTCTCCAACTTTAAGGTTGGTACGTAGCTTGTAAATAATGGACCAAAAATTACGGTGGTTAAGGTCTAATTTAGGCCTTTCTCACCATTTTTTTTTAAATAAAATAAAAAATGTGCTCTAGTATTCCATTCCTATCATTGATACACGGAATATGTACGCATGTTTGGTGAGCTGGTGGAGAATTAACATTTTAATCGTAGGGTAACAAGTTCACCTTGCAGAAGTATCTAACATGAAATGTAACGTTCTAAAATTAACATTATAATGTTGTTTTTCCAGCATATTTTGACTTTGGGTGAACTTATTATTATTATTATTATTATTATTATTATTATTCATGTATTTACTTTTGTTTGATTCATTTGGAATTTTCATAACGAGAATAAAAATAACTTTAAGCATTTTTAAAATATTGTGTATGAGTGTGTATGAGTGTGTGTGAAAATGTTGATGTTTAATATTTATAGGTGATATGTAGAAAGACATCAAATGCTTTATGGATCATTCAATATACATGATTCCTCTATTTATAATTGTTTGCCCTTTACTCAAATTACTTAAAAGGAAAATGGGCCAACTAGAATGAAAGGAGTAATTGGTTTTTAGGACCTGTTTCGAGTTACTGAAAACAACTAAACTGAACGGATTGAAGCCGAGCTGAACTTAATAGAGCTTAAATGAATTGTTTATGAGAAAAGAAACTTAAGAATTGAACTAAACTGAACTGAATAGAGTTGAAATGAATTGTTTATGAGAGAAAGAAATTAGGAGCAAACTGAACTAAACTGATTGAAACTGAACTGAACTATACTTAATAGCCCCTTAGTCTTTTAGATAAGTGAGTTTGTTGCTGACTTGTTGTAGTACCTGCTTGTCATTAATTTCTTATTTAAATGTTGTACTTGGAAGTTTGCTCATCTAAAGCCACAGCGAAAGCGATGGGGAATTAATTTGTTGGGAAAAATCTTAACCCACTCGAAATTGTGATGGGTAGAGTATGCATCCTACATAAAAATAACTATAATAATTAACAATATCATTAAAGCAAAGGTTTATAAGTGTAAACTAATTCAATGATAAGTACACAGGGTTTGTCTGTTTATGTTTTTTCTTTTAAATAGGGATTCCAACGCGTATGATGTATGGGGTATTGCTAATTAACATAGAATTACATGTTACCATTTTCTCTCTCATTACTACCCCCGCTCTCCCCCTTGTTTTTTATACAATAAACAAATGCTTTTACTAGACTCACTTGTAGTTTTCTTAAACTAAACTATGCGTCCACCCCAACGTCTCAAATATACCATTCAATATACGACAAAACCAGGCGCACTCGAGTTAAATGATAGTTTGTACAATACAAACTTATTAACCAATGCATAATTTTGATTAGGTAACACTTTAATCGTCTTTCATATCTTTTTAAAAATTTAAAATTAATTGTTTTGAAAGTATATGTATGACACTTAATTTACTTTTATTATTATAACACATTAACACTAACAAATTATGATAAAGTTTTTACTCATAATAGTTGATTAATATTACTTCATAAGAAGTTTTATATGTGACCGACCACAATGATGTTACTTATTGAAAGGTTACTCGATAGCCCATAGGTCAGGGGCAATTGTTTGTGTTAATATGAGCGAATCACTCACTTAACTCCCAGAAATAAAAAAATTATTGGGAAGGTGATGTTTAATTGAGCAAAATTGTGTAGTCTGTACTTTGTTTCACAATAAATGATGCCCAAATTACCCAAAATAATGACAGTTATTTATTTTCTTTTTGATGGGAGATAGTGAGATACAGTTGATATTATCCATTTATTCGTAAAGGATAATGAAACCCACACTCATAAATTTTTATACTTTCTCACCAAAAGTTTGCAGTATTTATCTGAAAAATTCCCCATTGAAGCTCTGAATTTCGCATATTTTTTGAGCAACAATGCCTCGTTTGTCCAATTTATACCTTTTCACTTACAATTTTGCTCAAACTATTGGTTGGTAATTCCTCTGCAAAACCCTTCATTTTATTTTAAAATATAATTATCAAATTTGATTATGATTATGTATTTGTTGTGATGTTTGAAATATTATTACTCCGTATTTTAGCACTGCATATTATTAGTTAAATGTCTTTAATAATTGCAGGGCAGTTGCATTGATACAGATTTTAATAGGGTTTAGTTCCACTAAATCTTTTAATGGGGCCTTTGCCTCTTCTGGGCAAATTATTTGTAAGTACATTTTTTTTTTATTTAATTAACAACTTAATTTACATTAAATTAATTTGTTTTTTGTGGGTGCCAAGGTTTATTGCAAAAAGCTGCATTCTTGGAAGTTATTCATGGAGCTTTGGGTATATGATCTTCTATCGTTATATTTTACTGAGTAATATGTTCTTATTATGGCTGTACTCGTTTAGTAATTTCTCAGTTTCACAAAGATGGTTCCAATTTGAATTTTTGATTATCGTAATGATTTATTTGTTCTTGATCTTATTAGATTTGTCTCAACATGTATTTTCAAAATATCAACTTTAATACTTAATTAGAGATATTGACGTTAAAAGTTTTACATTGGTAAACTTGAAAAGGTGAAGTGTAACAATCTTCATGAAATAGAGGTTGTACTTCTTTGGTCGGTTTTAGTTGTCATAGTGTTAACTTGAATTGTACCATTGACTTGACAATTGTGTCTAAATGAAGCGAGTATTGGAGTATGTAATTGTATCTTATGGTAGTTGCACTTTTCATTTCTGTGTTTTTTGTGGTAATGAAAGGTATTGTGCCAAGTGGAGTGTTGTTGCCTCTAATGCAATGGGGAGGAAGAAGTCATTATCTTCTGGCAATTGCAGGGAAAATTGTTGAGGTTTTAGCTTGACCCCCTTGCATACATCTTTTGAGCTCCGCTTAATTACTTAGTGTTTACATGCTTTTTATTCAATGTATTATGAGGGAGGTTCTAATTGTTAGTTATACCTTTTTAAATCTTTGCAGTTACAGACGTCTCCTTCCATTTTCATAACGTTTGTTGCCTGGAGCATCAGTGAAGTGAGTTACTTGTTTAATTTTCTGCTAAATAGTGTTTGTTGACCGGCTTTGTTGTTGTTGTATACTGTGTTCCAAGCCATATATGGATTGTCATCTCCTCTTACACAACTTGTCATTATATATGGAGTGAAACTCTTCGCTTTTGTTACAAATCTGCATTGCTAGACACAGGTGAATTAACCTTAACCATTTTTAGTTTACTCCATTGGCTTGCAAAGACCACTTTAAAACTTTGTTATTTCACTGGACCCCCGCCCGGGGGGGGGGGGGGGGTGTCTACGTTTTAAAGTCTTATAAGCTCAATGAGTTTAGCTAAAGATTGAGCTAATAAGTTCTAGACTAATAAGCTTAGATAGTTCAGCTCAGATTATAATTATAATTCATTTCCCAAAATATAAGGTGCTACAGGTCCATCTTATGATAAGTTTAGATCAGTTCATGGAGATGGTTCAGATAAACACAGATGTTAAGTACAATTTTGTTTAATGAGTTTATATGAATTTAGCTGAAGTTCAATTCAGATACTTAAGCAGTTTTCAGGTGAAAAGAACAAGCCTGAGATTGGTTGTATCTTTAATAATGCTTGAAATTGATTTTCTTAGGATGTTTTTTATCAACTACATGTTCATAGCATTCTTTTATCCGTTCAAATCCATAATATCTACAAGTAGACGTCAATGTATAAAAGCTGGCCAATCTGTCTATTAATAGGAGTACTAGGGATAGTGTAGCTGCTACTTTGTGTGTCTTAATTTGTGCTTACTACTTTACCAATAAAATAGGAGTTATAGGACAAACAGGTTCTTGATTCTTTCCAAAAGGGGGATCATGTTCTAGTAACTTGACAAATAAATGTTTTGTCTAATTCTGAATCCTTGGGATCACACTAGTTCAAGAATCCTTGACGTGTAGATCATAGATTAGGTCTTTGACATTGGTGATGCTGTGTTCAAATGGGAGGAGTTTGTGATGTAAAAAGGAACTGATAGGAGATGCACTCAGTTGTTATAGGGATAGTTAAGTTATTATCAATATTCAACTGTATATGGCAGTCACAACCACTATCAGAATAAAATAACAGTATCACCTCAGCATCAATGCTGGAGGAGCATTAGCATTATTTAGACTTTTGAGATTCCTCAGAAAGATGCAGAATCAGATTCTTGTAAAGTGGTACATGCTATTTTCTGATGGAATCCTATAATTGCCTCAAACAAAAGCCCCTTACATTAAAAAGGAAAAGGCCTGTAAGATAGAATTTGACACTTGTGAACATAAGAAGTAAAGAAGGGACCAGAAAATTGTTCATGGATGAAGCATCTTGACTAACTTGAAGGGACTTGTGTCTCTATTGCTGTTTTTCACAAATTCTAGATCTGTTTGCGCTAAATTAGTATCTCAATTCGCAGTTTATTATATTCTGTGCAACAATTTTGAGACCTTTGTTGATTGATAGAGTGTAATTTTAACACAACCTTGGAATAATATTTAATGTAACCAAAAAGGATGATGACACATCTTGGAGCATAGACCAAAGTTTGTATGTGAGACATTTACACTGGGATGGAGTATGCTAGAAAGACTAGCGTCGCTGATAAATTATCCTATAGGACCTTAAATGTACAGTTTTTGCCTTGACAATTTCATGCACTTTCTACTTGATAAGGGAATAAAGGTTAGATTTGGTGAGCATGCAAATGCTCATGTAGAGGCTTTGGCTCAGCTATATGAATGGAGTATGCTGGAAAGATTAGCGTCACTGATAAATTATCCTGTAGGACCTTAAACGTACAGTTTTTGCCTTGATGATTTCATGTACTTTCTATTTGATAAGGTAATAGAGTTTAGATTTTCTGAGCATTCAAATGCTCATTCAGAGGCTTTGGCTCTGCTATATTTGAGTTCATTTGATGATCTGGGTTTGTTTGGCATTGCTGTGGTTTTCTGTTTTTTTGGTTTTTTGTTGTATAAAAGTATGTGATATATGTCACATAATGAATAAAAAATTATTTAAACTTATCAAAATCATAATAATTTTGAAAACTGACAACAAAAAAGTGGAAACACCTTTTTCTTGTTTCCTGTTTTTGGTTTTTAGTTTAAAAAAAAAACAGGAAACTAAAAACCAAAAATGATGCCAAACAAGCCCTAATATTTTTGTTTTTGCAACTTATGCTGCCATTGCACATCCATTCATCACCTGTGCTAATTTTTCGTTGGTTATTTCGTTTGGGAATAATTTAATGTTCATAATTTTATACAGATAATTAGGTACTCGAACTATGCTTTGAGTTGTATAGGAGATTGTCCATATTGGTCAATTTATGTCAGGTTTGCTCAATTCCTTATATGAAGCTCTTGCTTCCTGTTGATAAATGTGTAATCTCTTGCAATTCTATTGCCAAGTATCTAACTATCTTTGTTCTTTTGAACAATCGCCTCTGTCAGGTACACTGTTTTCATCCCTCTGTATCCAGTGGGAGTTGCTGGTGAAAGTAAGTCCGCCAATCATATTCACTTGTATTGGCTTTCTTTTCCTTGTATTTTTGTTTGTAACATAATATAGAATTGTTTAGTTTTTTCTGAATTGTTACTGCTCAGCTTATTCCTTAAGTGCGAGTAAAGTAGTTATTAATGGTTTTGATTTTCATATTTTGCAGTGTGGCTCATGTACCAAGCACTTACTTACATAAAGGAGAAAGACCTTTACAAAGATTTTTTCAGTGTTCTCCCTTTCAGCTATCACACTTTTGTTCAGGTAATTCATAACCTGCTTTTCAATATACTATGATGCTCTTCTTTAATACCAGGTTGAGGAATTCCTATTCTAGTGTGGGCCTGACATGTTTTAACCATCTTCTCATGCTCTAGTTTTGGTTATAGCCTCAGAGCACAAAATTTGCAATGTCCAAACACTTGGCATTGAAACACGAGTGTTTTACTTGGTTACAATTTGATTGCTTTATACCTTGTTTTGGGTTCCTAGCAAGCAAATTACCAGACTAAATGTTGAATTACTTGTTCAATGCACTTTTGCACATTATTTCTTTAATACGAAGTACGTTACAATATCATACGAAAGGCCATCTGTATATGTCTTAACACTAAGACGATCCTTCTTTGTGTTAGGTTGTTCTTCTTTGCTACCCTCTTCTTTGGATGAAACTTTACCTGCATTTACTGAAACAAAGACGATCTAAGCTGCGCAAACACCATGAGAAAAAAAGGGAGTGAGCATCTTAATGCAGTCTCTGCAATCTTGCAATGGATTAATGGGTAGAATTTATATTCTACATGTATCTCCAGTATTGTTGATTCTTGTACTTGAGTTTAAACCAATAATCACTCTTTTTCTCAGCTGTGTCATATATTCTCGTCTATGCAATACGGCTGAATATTTGTTTCTAGCTAAACTTTCTGTCATTGTCACCCTCCAGTTAAGAATTAGTAGCTATATATTTCAAACCTTAGGTGCTGATGTACATTGCAATTTTTTTTGACAAAAAGTTAAAAATAGTGATGCTCATGCCTACATTCATAATTGTCAGTTTATTTGTTGGTTCTTCTTTAATATTCTGTATTTGATACCAATTCCACTTTATAATACCTTTAGTTGAATATACGGAGTATAAGTGTATAACATTATTTAGCTTCTCTTCCCTAAGGTCTGATGTAACTGTAAGATTCTGATGTTTTCTCGATATCAGATGAACCATAAACATTGATTATGGATGAAATAAATTGTGTTTTTCTTAAAATTTGTTCGTAACTTGCCTTAAGACTGTTGACTAGATATCGTTTTATTCCTAGGTTGTCTTGTTAATAGTGATAGTTAAACCTGGTTTTCTGAAATTATTCCAGATAAACAATAAATGCAACAAGTAAAACTAACATGTTTCATTGAAGCAAATAATATACTATTCATTATGATTCACAATTGAACACTACCAAATTTTCTTGGCAAAATGATAGAAAATGGAAAAAGCACTCAAATCATTTGGGGATAAAAAAAACATATACAACCCATCAACTGCCTTTCAAACATATTGGCTGATGAAAGGGGGGAGATTTTCTTTTAATTATCTGTTGAGAAATTAGGGAAGTTCCTCGTAGTTGTCTGGCTGGATGAAGATGCAGTGGTAGACGAGGGCAGCGATTGAAGAACCGATGAATGGGCCAAGCCAGTAGACCCAGTGGTTGTCCCATGACCAGCTGACAACAGCAGGGCCAAAGGACACTGCTGGGTTCATGGATGCACCGTCAAAGGCACCACCAGCCAAGATGTTAGCACCAACAATGAGACCAATGGCCAAGGGGGCAATGATGCCAATGTCACCCTTCTTGGGGTCAATAGCAGTGGCATAGACTGTGTAGACAAGTCCGAAGGTCATCACGATTTCAAAGACAAGGGCATTCCAGACAGTCACTCCAGAAGATAGAGCAAATGCAGAGGTTGGCTGAAACAAGAAAAAAATCAGTTCAGGTTAGTTTTTGAGCATTGAACCTCGAAGCATTATATGCTTAGATCAACAAAATGAAAAATAATTACAATTACTTCCAAGAAGCTTGCTTTCAGAACACCCAAGGGATTGGTTTTTTTTTTTTTTTTTTTTTTTTTTTTTTGGGGGGGGGGGGGGGTGTTATAGTGAAGAAATAAGTCAAAGTAGAACTGCATAAAAGGAATACTAGGGAATTTATGTTTAATTACCAGTCCACCGGTGGAAAAGTTGAGGAGGAGGCAAGCAACCACGGCACCTAGGCACTGAGCGATCCAGTAGAGGATAGTGCAAAAGAAGGAAATTTTACCACCAAGGAAAGCACCAAGGGTGACAGCAGGGTTGACATGACCACCAGAGATGTTAGCACCCACTGATACGGCCACAAATAGCGCGAAACCATGAGACAATGCAGCAGCTACCAGACCAGCAGGGGATGCAGGACCATCACCTGTAAGTTTGCCTGTATTCCAAAACATAATTAGTTAGTTTGCCTTTGAAAGTTTTCACCAGCTAAGGTAGTTGACTTAATATAAATATAGTTAGTTAGTGATCATGGATTAGTGAAACTTACCAAATGCCATGCCAGAGCCTTCTCCAGCAAAAACAAAAATAAGCATGGAGATAAACTCAGCCAATGCAGCCTTGAGGGCAGCAGGCTTTGTGGCCTCGGCCGGTGAGCCGAAATCGATTCTAGGGATTGCCATTCTTGAAATGCTAGTTAAACTCTTAACAGCTTTTACTTGCTATTTAGCTTGTTCTTCTTAGCTCTGTGATGCATTAGACTGCTTTAGGACTGTATTTATATAGCTGTCATGTAAAGGTTTTGAAGAGAAAACTAGGCTCTCCCTTTTTATTTTCATTTTTTTTAAAAAAAAATTATAATTGTTTGTAATATAAAAATTAAAAATAGAAATAAAAATGTGGGTTTGAAGTCAATGGATGGAGGGAGGGGGGGGTGGCTTGATGTTTTTGCCCTTTTGGGCAGGGCAAATAGTCGGAGCCTCCGGATTGTTCCTGTTTTGCCACGTGGCATATAGATATGATCAAACGGTGGATATCACTGTTGATCACCGGCCAAAAGTAGTGGTGATGGGTCCATCAATCATTGTTAAAGTCTTTACATGAACAGGCCAATTAAGATTAGTTTATAAACTTAAAACAGTTTAATGTGTGATTAGAGGAGTGGTTAGGTGAGTTGGCTTGCCTCCACTTCGTTGTTGTTAATCTTATATTCTTATGTCATTTGTTTATTTTGATTAGTGATAATAATCGAGTGCTTGTTTTTTGTGTAATAGAGTATTTTAATTTCTTGTTTAGTGGAGAATTGTAGATTATTGAAGTGCTTAATTAATTTGAAGTTAATAATGGAGAAAACTCCTAATGTTTAAATCATCTATCCTCCAACCAAATTAACTGCGGTTCTTTTATGCATGGGAGAGATTGATTAGTCAATTACTCCTTATCTTATCTACTTTCCTTTGTTTCATATTTGTATAGGACGGTTTTATATAAAAAACATGATCTTCAAGGTTGGGCTGAATTTATAAACATGTGATTTTCTATGTAAGAATCAAGATTTTAAGTCCGTTTTTAAAGATTTAAGACGTAGAAAGTTGTCTATTTGTGGTACCCTTAACCTTTTTCTTTTCTTACTTATAGGTTGTTATTATTGTTATCGTTATCGTTATCGTTAGGTCAACATTTTTTAATATCTATCCTTATTGTCAATATTTTGCCTTGTCATCTCTCCCTCCTCTTTACAATGATCCTATCAAAAAACAAACACTGTTGGCTCCCCAAATTTCTGTCTCTATTTTATATCTCCAGTCTTCGGGGAGATCTCGTATTTTTATACAGAGTTGAAGTTTTTTCTGGGTTCTTATTTATTGGACATAGGTAACATCTTACAATTGAAAGGGACTTTAAGTACTTAGTTAATTGGTATTTGGTTGGTGAAAACGTCATATGCTGATTACTGTGAATATATTAAACGATTCCATGTTCTTGCTCTTTTGATCCTAATCTTGTGCTATAGTTTTTCAATGTCAAGAGAGTAGTAACATAAATCGAAGGTAGCAGATGTGTTGTTCGGATTAAGTTATTCTTAGAATTGAGTCAGATTATATTCAAGTTTGTTATCACTTAACCATCAAAAAGCATACAAGTATTTTGTTAAAGTAACAAACTTTAGTTTAGTCATATTAATAGATTTAACGTGAACAAAATAATTCAACTCGAAGTGCAATTCAAATCTACGTCACATAATTAGATGCATATTTCAAAGTTTAAACATAAAGGAAGTGGGCGATATGTCGAATTCATATCTTCTTATCCAAAAATATACAAGACATCTATAATTTATACTAAGGAAGTCTGCAATTAGAAGTCATATCCACGTGTATCCTACAATTTTGCATAAATATATAATCCTCCAAAATGTTAATCTTAGCCATAGTTTTGGATGAACAAAGACTTAATGAGTTGTAATTTAATAAAAAATTTGATAAGTAAACTTTTGCCAGACGAGAATTACAAGGACTTGTGGGGACAATTAAGATAAATGTATAAGCTTATGGCATATGCTTTGTTTGTGGAAATGGAACCTACCATTTGTCATTTTCAGCTTCAATTATTCTTATATTTAGTGATTTGATTATAGAGAATATAATATGATTTCATGAATTAAATACACTAATTATTTCATTAGTATTTATCTTGGTATAGAATATTGATCCCTTTGTAGAGATTTTTGTTTAGTTTTATGTTTTGTTCTTATCTCTAAATAGCTTGATTTATATGAACGACGAATCAACATCTATGTCAAACAAGTAAAGTTTAAGCTTCTTAGACATGTAATTACACTATTTCAACTTTAGATTCTAAAAAAAATAAATAGAAGATCAAAATAGTATTTTGTATAAGCCATGGTGACATAATTCTCGAGGAACATGTGGGTTAGTTAATTTTTCAATATGAGGTAGCTTGAGCAGTCCTTTGGGAAAAAAAATTCTTAGTTCTAAATTGAATTCAAATACGAAGTAACTTTTTTTTTTTCCTTTTGATTTCAAAACAAATATTAAGCAATAAGCTCGAAAATCATTATTGAGTACACCTTGAATATATTCTGTTCTAGTGTTCTTTACTTCTTTATATGTTTTCTCAAACTTCTTGATGATATGGATTGAAAATCAATCTAAAATTTTGTTACCTGAATCCAAAAAAAAAAAAAAAAAAAAAAAAAAAAAAAAAAACCAAGCAGCTAACTGAAAATCATGTTGGACTCAACTTAACGGAACTTCGAGTTTAAGCCCAAAAATGAAGGAGGTCAAGGCCCAAATAAATCAATATCTAAGCCCAAATAACTAGTCGAAGGCTAAGATTAAGAAAAATAAAAGGCTTAAATTCGAGGGCTGAATATTTAGAGCATCTGGACCAAGTATAAAAAGGCCCATATAAATATTTCTCTAGTATATGGGCCTTATTCTTGGCACTTCGGCAGATGCTCTAGGCTTTAATTTGACTTTCAATTATTCGAATCCTCTGCATTATGAACCACTATGATAGTAATGGCACTATCCATTAAAATTGTAAGAAATCTGATGAAACGGAAAATTGAACCCCCTCACCCTTAGGTCCTCCACGAGGCCTCAGATGATAATCTGAGTGCTTGTTTGATTTACCTACGAATTACGGAGTACTAGATTTTAATGGAAAATTACCTTCTTACATGTCTTATGAAATGATATATTTACGTATACATATTATATACAATTTTTAAGAATTAATATAGATGTTGCAGCTTACTAAAAAGGAGGAGGGTGGGTAAGTCATTTTCCCATGTCCTCCTATATAGATGTTGCAGCTTACTAAAAAAGAGGGTAGGTAGTATCTTTTTTATGTCGACCAAATAAAATGTCACACTTGCAATTCTTGTGACAATTCACCTCGATTTTTTTTTTTTTTTTTTTTTGGTGTTTAGAGAGCCACAAGGGCGGGTGATGAGTTTTGATCCCAATAATATCACCTGGAATCGGGAGAGAAGCTCTAACCACTTGAGTTATCTCTCACACTCATCTTCCTCTTTTTCTCGCAAGTTGCAACCAAACAAGCACTAATAGTTATAAGAAGTGTTCATATTATAGCTAAATTGACAATCACTACGGCTGTTAGCTTAGGAGGCTAGTAGATGACAATAATATATACAGCTTTATACATAATCTTGTAAATTAAACTTACGAATGTCTATTTTCCTTTATTAACTTTCATTGTTACCATCCAATTTTTATCCTAAAGTGGTGAGGAATGTATGCAATTTAAAATTTAATGGAGCTTCTTGTCCAAAATTTACAAAGTATAAGTCGCTCAATAATTACAAATTCTTGGATGCATTCTAACGCAGCCAAGATGGCTGCAACAAGCCAAAACGCAGGTCTTTATTAATGAAACGCAATTTGCTATTTTCTCCTTCAACTTTCCCTTCTTCCAGCTAGAACTTCACTGAATATCCCCATTTTCTTATGTCATTTATTTCGTATATGGATTGATTCCTTTTTGGTTGCAATTTTCTCTCTCCTTTTTCTTTTATTCCATTTGATATTTTCTCTCTCCTCTTCTTCTCTTTTAATCAAGATTTTCTCTCTCCTCTGTTCTTTACTTAATAATGGAGGTGGTTGCTATTCCTCATGAAATCATCAATGGAGGTTAGTTTTTGTGTTGTTTATAATTAATTAGTTTATATTTTCGTTGAATTTGTAATTGTTTATGATTTTATAATTTTATGAATTTCAATATACTATTGATTAATTGATTTTGATGACATTGATTTTGATGAATTGAATAAATTTGATGATACATCTTGCTTTTCTGATTTTATAATTTGATAAATGTTGTTCTGCATTTTTTAGATTCATTTTGTGATTTTATAATTATGAATTTCATGAATTTGTTGAAAAACTATCTACATTTTGATAAATTGCACTATTTCAATTTACAATTGCTATTGATTTCTTCAATAAGTTACGAAATCTTGAATTGCTTAATCTGTTATGTTTTTTTTAATTGAATTTGTTTTTGAGTTCATTATATGAACATTTTATACATTTAACATTGTATTCGTTTATGATTTACATTTTGAACACATATATATATATTCAATGTGAACATTCCATTTCTATACTATGAACATTCATTCTCCAGAGGTGAGCAATGTACATTCAATTCACCAGACAATGAACACTGTTATTTCACTATATATAATCATTGTGAACATTAGTATTCCACTTTATGAACATCTATTGTGCAGGTCATGAACACTTTGTTATTTTTATTTTTTCAGAGAGTACAAGCCGAAGTATCCAAATTAATGATGAAAGAAGTTGGAAATGAGCAGCAACTTTGTTATTTACATTTTTATTTTTGGACGTGTTCATTTAAGTTTTTTTTTAAAGGTTATATTCTATTGTAATTGTATTTTGTTAAATTTCTACCAATTTGATCTATGTATGAATTTCGATTATATTAGGTGGTGATTTTGTAATGTATTATGATCGATTTGATTAGGTTTTTGAACATATAATTCATATGAATTGAATTTACGACCTTTAATTATGAACATAAGAAAATTGGAGAAAATGATTATGAAAGGTAAACATCATAAGTTTTTACAAAATATGAACATGCATTAAAAATATGAATATATGCATTTTAGAAAATGAACATACGCATTTAAAATATGAACATATGCATTGGTTCGTTTTTTGAATGTGTATGAATATAAGAATTTCAAAA